TAGTACCTGGGAATAGAGGACCAAATTCCTTTGTCTTTGCCACTATCACAGAAGACAGCAAATAAAAAAGCCCTTGACCAAAAGTATCAGAGACTGAGGGACTCTTTTCCTGTTTAGAATGCAGAGCAAATACTACTACTGATAAAACACTAAAATTTACAAAAGTCTTTCAAAGAACATATCTCTTTTGTTCCTCACAACAACCCAATTAGTAGCATTACTACTTGTTAATATCCCCCAATTCAGAGATGAGAAAACTGAGATCCAGATACCCAAGTGATTTGTCTAGGATTTCAAAGAACTAGAAAGTGACCGATATGAGACTATAAATCAATCTTTTAACTCTAAATTTGATGAGCATAAATTGTAAACAACAACATTATAATTATTTTTAGAGGTTTAACTTATTTATAATATTAAGGATGAGGATGGTAACTCCTGATCAAGTAAAATATGAGACTTCTGTTTTATCAAGTGAAACTTTGATATCAAATGAATGCAGCCAGTTATATGCCAGAATTCTTCTACTCTGTTTAAGTTAGCTTGTTATTATTTTGGAACACTGCAATTCCCATTGTAACTGTTTAACATTATTGAAACACCTTTCATGCATATCAACTTTCCATTTTCTATCCATATGATAAGAAAAAAAGCCAACTCTCTTTTGCACAAGCCTAGAACCCCTGTTCCTCATCAACCTCTTTCCACACTAAGAGGCCAGAGGCCCATTTGGGACCTGGTCTAATGTGGCAATGCTTAGTGATGCCAGAACAAAAATTATGATAACTTTGTTGCTTATGGACAAAACCACTCATCTGAACCAGAATTTTGGCATTGTTTGGTCAGAGGCAAATTTCTGACCTTACAATTAGATATTCCCAGAAGAGCTGCCTTTAATGTTTACAAAAATCAGAGAAAGCCAGTGAGATTGTCAGGACTCTTGTGAAGGTGAACAAAGCATTCCTGATGAGACTAAGAGAAGTTTCAGAGTAGAGCTGAAACCTGGAAAAATCAACAATTCATCTAGGTCAAAGTTTCACTGAGAGAGGACATCCTGAGTCTCTTCCTGGGAGTTTAGGCAGACAGACTTATTTAACTGAAGAAACACTTTTTCCCACCTCAAGACAAAGCGTGATCACCTTAATATGAAAAGTATGTATACTAGAGTATAAAATTATGAGGTTGGAGCTTTCCAGATCTAAAATTCTATGATTTTCTAACTCCCTCCTAATAAGCCTTTGCATTAAATTAACTTCCTTCTGATATAGCTACAAAAATATTAAATTGTTTAACAGTTGTCATATTTTATTTTGCCCGAGTACACTAAGAAATAAAGCCAAAGAACACTTTCAAGAATTCTTACTTAAATTCCTCAGCTACTTCTTTCCTCCTTATGCATTTCAGATACACATAAACTAATACTCCTATGCAAAGTTACCCATGAAACAGGGCTGCCAATACATGCTGTGTAGGACATTTTCCCCTTTCTAATTCATAATGGGTCTAGCAGATAAGTCTAAGAATGAATAAAGAATAGATAAATTGCACGTTTGTTTAGCAAAAGACAACCAAAATGTTCTTGGAACAAAGATTTTCTTTCAACCACACCCACATAAGAAAAGAAATCAAAGAATTACTCTAAGAAATCTTCCTCTAATACACTCTAGTCAGTTGTAGTTGGTTGGGTTATGTATACATTACTTGATTTCTGTCAACAGAAAATGTTCAGCAATAAATTGCTGGTACCAAAGACTGAAATTTAAGACCATAATTATGATATTCTCTTAAAATGTCATCTCATTCTTCAATTCCCCTCTCCACCAGAAAAAAATGAATATGCCTATTTTAAAATGAAATATTCAAAGGGAATATAAGAGACCCAAAATTACTAAACCTCATTTCAACTCCAATGAAAAGAACTTTGCCCATTAAAAGTTAATACCTAAAGTACACTGCTTATAATGCTCAGCCAAAATTACTCTAATCCTGCGCTTATATCATAATTACACGTTTTGTTAACCTCTTGCAATGTCAATTTTTCACTTATTTATATATTTTCAAAGTCCAAAACAGAATTCCACAGAGAAACTGTAATTATAACGTGAGGCTCCACCCAAGCTTTTCAAACAGTAACTGTATACCATTGCTTTAATCCTCAGAGTTTG